CAAGATGATCTGTAATTGCTGGCTCTTAAACAGCTATGGCATACTTTCCACCTTGTGATTTATTATCTCGTGTTACTTTATATTATTTTCCTGCCTCCAAAAATACCTTCACGCATTTGTCAAAAATGAAATCATTATTGAATGCTCAGTCTGGGCTAAGTACCATGCTGAGTGCTAGGTATGGTAAACATGATAGACATTGTCCCTGCTCTTATGGAAGGAGTAGGGCAATAATGAAGTGAAGTTTAGAACACTGTTATAGAAATTCACCAGGAGATGCTGACGACCTGGGCCCAGGTCGGGGCTGTGAGGGCAGCAGGAAGTAGACAGAGTTCAGAAGATTTAGGGGTGTCACAGGTAGGAATTGATAGCTTGTATGCAGAGTTTGAGGGAAAATGAGTCAAAGATGATGGATATGTTTTTAGTTTGGGCATTTCATTCAGTTCTTTAATACCTTATATGTGATACCCTATTGACCACCAAATATAATTTTTCTTTTTGCAGTGACCCTTATATTTTTCATCCCTAGCTCTCCCAACCCCTACTTTTTTTTTTTTTAATTTGGTCAGTATCCCTAAGATTTTATTCTTTTTTGTCTTGTTTGTTTTGGAAGGCTGTCCTCAAGCTACTGGAACCGATTTTGCCTGTAGAGTGCCTGGAAATATACATTTCCCAGATGGCACTTAGCCAGTGACTTAAGGGCGAAAAAATATGAAAGCCCAACTACCTTGCCTTGGATTGGGACAACACAAATTGTTGGGATTGTGAAGCCTACCTTATATTTCAGAGTTCCCCTGCAGATTAGGCTAATGCTAGATAATGGTGTATTTTCTGAAATTAACAAATCATTGTATAATTTATCAAAATAACATACATATACGTTTAAAGGCAAAAAATGCCAGAAAAGAGGATCTCTTAGCAAAAAATAAAGTCCCAAGTCCCCCTTGCCATCCTGCTTTCCAGAAATTACCTGTTAAACTCTTTTAATCTTTTCTCTGGTACTTACCTCAATTTCTAAGCAATATTTTATTTATCTCTTGAATCAGGAGGGATTTTGTTTGTTTGTTTGTTTTTCTGTTTTTTTTTTTTTTTTTAGCTGAGCCATCCTGTCACCTGTTGGCAGCTCAGTGGCAGCTCAGCTCGGGCCAGGAATCGAACCTGGAAGTGACCCTGTTGTTCAGAGCTCGCACTCTTGAGTGAGCTCTTAACCAACTGAGCCACTCGGCCAGTCCCGAATCAGGAGTTTATAGATAATCTATTGACTTCATATTTTGGTAGGTGAGTTTAGCTCTGTCAGTCTCCTCCTATTCCTCCAACTACTCTCCCAATGTAGTTATAACAAAAAGTTTTATTAAATCAATACTCAGTATTTCATTGTTATGATTATATAAATGTTCATGATGAGCCAGGGAATTAAATATTTGTGAAACTTTTTACTTTTCCTGAAATTAATAATTACCTCATTTCATTTCTGTACTTTGAGCTAATGGCTAAGGCTTCTCACATGTTTTGTAAAATTTCTCAATGCAGTTTTCCAAACAGTTGAACTTGTCATATAGTGTTATCAGTTATACCTTTCCTACGTATCTTCTTTATGGAGGCCACTATAACCTGATGTAATATGGACTGTGTACTGCCTGCGATGGTTATGAGATTTTCCTTTACTGTCCTCTTAGGAATTCTTCTTCTTACTTGTGTTAGATTCACTGTTTACTAGACCCACTATTTCCTTTTTTTTTTTGGTTTATTCTCTTGTTTTGGTAGAGCTCAAATTCTAATAACCTCTTTTTAAAAGGCACATGTAAAGGTCATCTTTTTTTTTTTAGTTTGTATATCTAAAGATAACTTTATTCAACCACCATCATCATCATCATCATGATTCATAGTTGATCATTTGACTAGGTATAAAATTCTAGATTGAAAATTATTTTCATTCACAATTTTGAAGGCATTCTTCCATTGTCTTCTAGTTTCCAATATTGTTCAGACACCATTTTAAGATCTTTTTACTCCTAGTAGTCTGAAGCTTCCACAATATTATGCCTTGGGTAGGTTTTTTCCTTCATTCATCATACCAAACAATTCATGGGGGTTTTGACTCTGAAAACTCAGTTCTGAGAAATTTATATTATTATTAAAGATACGTTTAATAATTTCCTCCCCACTATTTTTTCTGATCTCTCTTTTGGAACTCTATCTGTTACAGGGTCACCAGATTGCTTCTCTAATTTTATCTCATATTATCACTCTTTAGCTTTTTCTTTCTAGAAATGTTCCTCAAATTTGTCTATTAACCCTTTTACTGAATTTTTTTATTTTGGCGATCACATTTTTAATATCTATGAGTTCTTTCTTATTCTATTTCTTTTCATAATATCCTTTTCTTATATATATTCTAAGATATTCACAACTTTTCATCTTGTCTCTGTTTCCTCTAAGTTTATTTATTCTGCTCATTTGGTACAGTTTTTTTCTTTAATGTGAGATCTTTCCACATGTCCAGCAATTTCTAGCTGTCTATCCAAAATCAGATTAAGCTATAAAGATTGAAAGCTCTGTGGTCATGAGTGAGACTTACTGACTTGTGACCTTTACTATAGGGCAGTTAGGTACAGTTGCTTTTGGGATTGTGGAACTGCTAGATGTCAGTACCTTTATGCCTTTTTGCTGGAACTGTTAATTTCCTTCTGAAAAGACCCTCTTGACTGAAGGGTATGGTTAAAAGACCATCTGTCAGCATTTTGGTGCTAGATGAGGAACCTTTTTCATTATACAGCGTAATTTCCCTATTTTTAGTTCTATACCTCACTTTGCCCTTTTCTGTGCCCAACATCTCTAAATCCAGATTGTCTGTGGTCTGAATTGTCCAGTCTCTTCTTGAGGTGGAGAAGGGGTTGTTGCTTGATTGTACTGAGGGGGCATCATTCAGTAAGCATTTTCTGTCCCTACCTCATCCCTGCCCCCTGTTATCCCCTATATTGAGTCTTTCAGGATTCTACAAAGATCTTCTTGCTTCTAGTCTCTGAAGGCTTTTCGATTTGGCCTTCTTTCCCTCTGTGAAACCTTGCCTCCAAATGCTTTCTATATTCACATATTGTGCTGTCTCTTCATTTTAGTAAATATGGAGTTTTAATTTTTTTATATCCATTTCTTATTGGGTTGGAGTGCTTTTGAGATATAGAGGGGGAAGACATGTCTTTATGTTGCCATCTTAAAATCAAGTCTAATAGTAGCTCTTGATGAGCATGTATCTTGGGTTAGTTTAAAAAAAGTTCAAAAAGAATTTTTATCATGTGGGGTGTCCCAGCCATTGAAACACCACCATAGGCTTAAATATATATAGTAAAACCTTGGATGGCGAGTAACTTAGTTTGCGAGTGTTCCACAAGACGAGCAAACATTTCTCATACATTTAAACATGGTAAAACGAGAGATGTCTTGCAATATGAGTAATTTGTTTCCGAAACGAATTATGCTCGCAAATCAAGGTATTACTGTATATATATACTACACTCTTCCATCATAAGGCCACTACCTCAGTTCTAACCACAGCTCCCAAAAGGATCGCTAGCAGGCAGTTTAAAATGTGCCCTCCCCCTTAATACTCTGAAGTGAGTCAGAACAGCATGTTAATTAAATCAACTCCTAGACACTATTGAACCCAAGGCCGAAAATCCACTCCCCCGTCTATTTCCCATCCCAAAGTATTTCTAGCCATTCCAGCCAATATAGCTCATCAGGCATTTTGCAAATGAGATTAAATAACAGGATTAACAATATGCTTCAATAATGTCAACTGCAAAGATTTGCTCCAAAAATTTATTATATAACCTCTCCCCAGAGAAAAATGAAAGTCCTAACAGTAAATCCTTTCTTAAGTTAAAGCAAGCTTAAAGTTTATTACTTATTCTTTTTCGTTAGTTCATCTCAGCCAGCCTTCCATGCCTGGCTGGAATCAGGATGCCCTTGGCAGCTTCAGCCTAAGCTGGCTGTCCTTGTAATGTATGTGGCTCTTACAGTGCCTCAGAAATTACGTTAGTTCTTATGCCAAGTCCCTCATGAGCTTAACTGTTTACAGAAAAGAACCCAAAGAGTTACTGTGACATGCAAGATTTGCACAGCACTGGCCCCACACACATTTAAAAAAAAAAAAATTTCCTAGAAGGGTTATTCTGGGCAAAACTATGTTCCTGGAGCCTGGTATTTACTGTTGCCAAAGACCACAGCAGATAATATGCGGCATCAGAGTGGAGGAAGGTGAATGAAGGAAATCTTTATTTCTGGTTTAACAAGATAGCTATTTACTGTCAAATTATAATCAGAAGTTTGCTTGTTGAGCACAGTTAGAACAAAGGGAATTCATTTTAGATAAACATGATTCCAGTCATCAGGCCACAACTGTATGTCTACCCAAAGCTATGTCTATTAGATCAGATACTTGAGTCAGCTTGACAAGGTCTCTTCTCCTGAGAGCATCTTTTTATTTGACTTGAATTAGTGGATGGTTGGGAGGATGCTTTCGAAGCCTGAGATTCTGTAAATCTGATTTTTTTTTAATCTACATTGCTGAATTCTTTGCTTTTTCCATGAAGTTTCAAATTTCTTTATGCAGTTGAAGAAGGAAGGGAATTGCCACTACTACTTCCACTTGTACATGTATACTGTTTCAGAGCCTGGAGCCTCTAGGACATGATAAAGTAGAGCTGTTAAGCACATAATAGCAGCAGTTTTGCCATCTGGCTTCTCTGATATCAGGCAGTTACCCAGTTGGGGAGAGCTAGAGTCAGTCTTTAGGTAGGTGGAACTGTTCACAATTCTGCTGTCATGGACTGTTTGTAAGAAACTCCTTTTATTGTGTCTCATAGAAAGAGAACTATATAGGACCAATATGAAAAACAAGGTATATCTATCTTGCTTAGAGCAATTTGGTTTTGGTCTTCAGGGAAAGTAATAATAATGAAGTACCAAATGCTGACCTATCATGGACTTTCTTACTGCAGGATTTCCAACAAGTAACAGAAGAAGTATCTTTGACAACTATTGTGACATTTGTGGACATTACCCAGAAGCCAAACCCTCCACGGGGCCAACCCAGGGTGGACTGGAAACTGCCATTTGACTTCTTCTTTCCTTTCAGAGTGGCATTCAGCAAAGGAGTAGACTCTCAAAAAGGTTCAGTCTCTCCCATCCTTGTCCTGTGTCTCTTACTACTTGGAATTCTCAGCCTAGAAACTAAGTGAGAAAAGAAGAATGAGGTTTCAGTTTTCCCTATGGGAAGTCCTATGGCAGCCAACTTATGTTGGCTAATGACCACAGAGCACTTAGGATAATATAAGACCTAACTGAAGGAATCTTTGTACATGAGAGAAGGGATTTCAGAAAAGCAATAAAAATATTCACCCTAGCTCTTTTCTGAGAACTCTGCAAAATACACATGAGATTCTCCTGTACTTCTCAAACAGTGAAGAACGCAAAGAGCCCTTCGCCTTGTGTTACCTCTGCTAAAGGTTTGCACAACCTTCATCCGTCTGCTCACAGGCACACTTGGGCCCAGCACCAAAAGGAACATGTTACTACTGTCCCCCAGTGAACCTAAGAAAAGCTGCCCTCTGGACTTGAAACAAGCTGACTGTTAAGAACAGAAAACTGCTGGCTATATATTTTATCTGGTTCCTCTCCTCTCCCTGGGACCACACTCTGCCCTAGCATGAGTGAGGAAAACAATTCTTTCTACTCAGTTTCCAAAATGAATGTGGAATCCAAGCCCTCTTTGCTACTAGGAAATGACCCTACCACTCATTTCTGCTCTTTCCTTCCCACCACTGTGGTCAGGAGAAATAAAACCGATTGAGAGCTTTGTTGTACTAATTCCAGCAGCACACGGAAGTTAACTGACATGCGTTCTGCCTCGTGTTATTTTTCTATATATGTGAGGTTTAAAAACGAAGGAAAAAACTTTCATACATAGCATGATGGAATTTAAATCAAGGGATTTGAGTTCTTTTCCCAGGATTGAGAATCTCTGAAGATCCCAGTTGTGTGGCACGGACATGAGGAGTGCGTTCAGCATGAAAGCTGTTTGTTTAGCGTACGGCACCAGCAGCTTCCAAAGGGCAGTGCGGGCCTGGGAGCGTGGTTTGGCCCTACCTGCATGACCAACTCAGAGTCTAGCTTTCAGAGAAAACTGCTTTAAAAGGTCATTTCCTATTACCATTTCTAGTGGAGAGGAATTGCTTGGGAATTATGATAGAAAACTTGGAGAGCAGGAAGCATAAAAAAGTTTTGGCCTAGAGCAGAATTGCAGAATTATGCTATCCTTGTAATTAAGGTGAAATTTTGATGGAAGATAATGTCATTATAGCTACTAATTGACTTAAACTTCTAAATCCCTTTTATAAAAAATAAATGTAAATAATAGGATGTAATAGAATCATTAACTCCAGTGAAAATAGTTTTGAGCACTTATCTCTGAAACAGAATTGTAAGCCCCTCAACGAGCTGACAGTTGAGAGGGGCAAAATTGACATGTGACACAGGAGACACATTTGTTCAGAGAAATAATCGACGTGGGCTAGACTAGTGAGGGCCAAGCTTTGAGAGGTGGTGGGGCTGGAGCTGAGCATGGCAGATGGGTAGGACTGGGAGCTGATGAGGTGATCCCAGGAGCCAAGGACAACTTGGGTGAAGCCTAGGGGCTCCTGTGGATCAGAGGGTTGGGAGACTGACGTGACAGTGAGTAGAAACACTGAGTGGGCAAAATAGGCGCTAAGGTGGAATAAGAGGAGTGCTCATTATATGGGGACTTGAAAGCCAGGCACAGAAATTGAGAAATAGTCTGCTTTTTTCCCACAGCATGTTAGTGATCTGAATCTAAATTACCTTTTAATAAAGTATATATTATAATAAATCCTACTTCGTGAACAGAAAATGCTGATTGTAAACACCATCTGTGGTGGGTTTATCATTTTGCCCCATTCCAAAGTACCTCAAAAGTAACTTATTTCCCTGGAAGAAAGTGGCAGAGTTCTTGTAGCAGTTACTACTCACCTAAGAGGAAGTGCTTCTGTACAGGGGAGATTCTGCCCAAGGGGAGTTGGGAGCTGGGCAGCTGATGGCATGGTTCCCACCAGAGCCCATTACATAGGTGTTACTGAATTCAGCAGCCCTGCCTCCAAGGAGACCTGCACAAAAACAGACCACAGAGCTATGAAAGTATTTGTTTAGGTTTCCCAGTTTGGATTTTACTTAAAGGAAAATAAGCTTATGTGACAACTCATCCTCTATTACAGGGTAGGAGACATCTAATCCACTCCCAAGAGCCTAGAATCCTTTTCAGAATTGGGTCCCCATTTATTCAAATGCTTATTCCCAGCCTTTACATAAATTAATTAATAAAATCTCAACTGTAATTCATATACCATAAAATTCACCCTTTTAGTGGTTTTTAGTATATTCAAAGCTATGCAACCATCACCACTAATTCCAGAACATTTTCATCACCCTAAAAAAAAACTCCCATGATCCTGCAGAGATTTGGGGATGTACTGACATGGCAAGAACCCTTACTGTCTGCCAGCCTGTGTCCGGTACCCCAAGATCTCATCCGCAGCAGCTATATGGGGAAGTGCAGGGTTCCAGCCAGTGAGTTTGTCCTGCTCAGTGCCAGCTGTGGGGAGGAACAAACTTTCGTCTGCCCTCAAGGTTCTTTTGACTGGTCTAATAAGTAGCCGTGGGGTGGACTGGCGGGAGCACAACCGAAGTAATGCATACATACGTATGGGAACCCCACATGCGTGAGAGAGTCAGAGACCGCCACATGCACAGAAGGCTCAGAGACAGAAAGGGCACATAGGGTATATATGACACTCTGAGTCAGGGATGAGGTAAGGGGGGGTCTTGGGGACTTTATAGGGTCATTGCAGGACAAGAAAAAGTGCAGATGTTTAGTAAAGAAGTTTTTCCTGCCCTAGAGATGTCAAAATACGTTATCTCTGATAGTCTCTTATTACAGGCAAGGCCCCTAATTCAAGGTCTAGGTAGTTGAGGGCAGAGGTTTCTCATAAGCCCACAGCTAAAGTTGCCTTTAGCTCAAAATAGTCCGCATTCCACAGAGGCACACCTTGGGGTGACTAGTTCTGAACCCTCACATAGACTTTAACTCAAGAATTCCTATAAATCACTATGTGTGTGTGTATTATATGACAAAAAACAAAATATTTCTAAAGGTATAAAAAACACGACAAGTAAAGGACAACATCAATTACAATAAGTATGTGGGTAAATCTTAATAAAAATGTGAACTTAAAAAAAAAGAAACTCCATACCAATTAACACTCCTCCTTATTTCCCCCTTTCCCCTAGGTCCTAGTGGTCACTAATCTACATTCTTTCTTCCTCTACAGATTTGCCTACTTTGAACATTTCATACAAATGAAATCATACAGGTAGCCTTTTGTGTCTGGTTCATCCATATAGCATGTACCAGTACTTCATTCTTTTTTGTGGCTGAGTAATATACCATTGTATGAAATATACCACATTGTATTTATCCATTCATCAGGTGATGGATATTTGCGTTGTTTCTACCCTTTTAGCTATTATGAATAATGCTATGAACATTCATGAACAAGTTTTCTTGTAGACTTACGTTTTCATCTTGAGTATATACCTAGGAGTGGGATTGCTGGGCAATATGGTGATTCTATGTTTAACTTACTAAAGAATTGCCAAACTACTTTCTAGGGTGCCTGAACCATTTTACAAGCAATGTATAAGGGTTCGAATTGCTCCACGTCCTTGCCAACATTTGCTGTTGTATTTTTATTTTAGCCATCCTAGTGGGTGTGAAATGGCATCTCATTGCGATCTCTCATGCCTTTTTAAACTAATGTAGGAGATCTCACACCAGAATCTGCACATCCAAGGCAGGAATACCTCAAGTGTTCTTTTCCTCTCTACCCCTCTGCTAATTTGATTAGCTTTAAGCCTAGTTTCCAATTACATAGAAGGCTGAGTAACATACGTTGCATAAGATTGTATGGTCATTTTACCTCCAGTCACTCCCCTTGAAACAGATCTTCAAAACATTTTTTTAAAGCATCTATACAACAATGCAGTCATCTTGGTTCCCTCACTTTATGCAGGTAAGTTATTAGCTATTTGACTTACTACACGAAAGGTCTCTATTATAATCATGTATTCAAATTAAGGAACAAGTTTTACTGTAAAGGGGTATATACAATTTGGATAGAATTAAGTTGAAATCCCAGCCACCGCACTGCAGGTGTGGAGAAACAGGTACTCTAAAATACTTTTAGTGAAGGAAAAGTAGCTATATTAATATGTATCAAAAGCCTTAAAATGTTCATAAAGTTTGACCCAACAATTTCACTTAACTAAACATTATCAGTGGGGGTGGGGGATGTCCAACAATAGGGAATTATTTAAATAAATTATATCCATAGATGAGAATGTTATACAACCATTGAACATTCAGTAAACCTGCCTTTATTGCCATAGGAAAACATTCATAATCTGTTTTTACTGAATAAAACAGACTACAAAATAGTGCATATACTCTGTGGTCCTATTTTTGTAAAACAAAAAATATATATGTGTACGTAGGCAAACAAAAAGTCTGGAAGACTAACGTCAAAATTGGGGATCTTTAAGAAAATAAAAACATTTCTGGTTTTTATAATCAGAAAATATTTGCTGTCCAGAAAGAACTTGTTTATTGTATGTAAGAATGTTCCTTATTTGTGAGTAAATTCCCTTTTATTGATGTATTTGTTTAGCATTCTGGGCCTGTGTTTTAAAGCAGGGGTCCTGAAATGTCAGTCACATCATAATCTTCTGGGGTGCTTTATTAAAAAATGCTGATTCCTAGGCCCTACTCCTAGAGATTCTAATTCATTGATGGGAAGTGGGGACTCTGTATTTTTAAAAAGCTTTCCTGGTGCTTCTACTGTACAGCCTGGTCTGTGAAACTACAAAGTGATGTTGCATAGTGTGGCTGAAACTGGTTTCATTTAAGTGTTTGTACTATCATTGCTAACTCATATAATATGTCTATCAGCCTAGCCTACTCCCTCCTCTTTAAGAATTCCCATCACTCAACACTCTGCTGAAGGAGTGGGCCCAGTTTCAGTGTTCACATTACCTGTGTGCCCCCTCATCTCCCTGACACTGTTGACGACCAAAACGAGTTCTAGACTGAGTTGGGCCAGTAAGATTTTCTCTGTAGGAATTTGGAACTGAGACCAAGTCTAGAAGTCAGTTGGGAATAGGCACTAAGGATATTTTAGGGTTGAGGAAGCCATTCTCTATCAAATGTTCACTAATGAAGAGTCTATTTTCTCAAAAGGAGAAAAAGAAAAAAGCAGGTGTGTAGAGAGAAGTGTAAATAAGAGACCCAGAGATGGAGGATAGTCCTGGTTCCCAGCTTATAGCTCCCAGTACCACCTCTTATGAGATCCAATTTTATCTCCTGCTCTTGGAGACTACACGTTATTCCTTCTAGTAAATTGCCTTGTTTGAATAAGTTTGTTATTAGCAATTAAAGAACCTGAGACTAAGATAACTTAAACCTAGCACTCTATAGCATGTAAAGAAGCAGTGCTCAATCCTGCATTTTTATAGTCCAATTCTAAGTAGTCCACTTCTACATGACTTTCTGGTCATGTCCAACTTTACTTCCATTTGCTGAGACAAAAGTTAAATCCCTCCAATAAAAAAAGCAATCACTGGGCCAGTTGAGTGGTGCGGTGGTTAAGAGCTGGCTTGGGACACCAGAGGGTCCTGGTTCGGATCCCACATATGAGGGCCAGTGACACTGCCCTCTCCAGCTAAGATGCTGAACAACAGCTCAACTTGGAGCTGGGCTGCCATGAGTCGCCAGCGACGGCGGAGGCTGCAGCCCCTGCTGCAGTGGGTTGCCATGGGCTATCGTGTGTAGCCGGCAGCCAGCGTGAGCGGCCAGCAGCCGCAGTGAGCGGCAGTCCAGAAGCCGGCGACTGATGTGCCTCGCCCGGGGAAGAGCGCAATGATGGTGCCAACTTGGGCCAGTGAAGCAACGTCCTCCACCTTAGACTGAAGAACAAAAAGGACAGCAACTTGTCTGTTCCCCTTCCCCCAATTCCCCAGCGCTGTTCCTATCCCCCAACTCCCCAATTTAAAAAAAAAAAAAAGCAATCACTTCTTTAAAAAATCATACGCAGGAAAGGTACCGTGGCTGAATCATTTTCTTGATTTCTGTGGAAAGCCAAACTAGCTGATAATTCTAGTATTTGATTTTTCCCAATCCATAGTCATAAATCCTATTCTCTTTATTGAAGTAGAATATTAATAGTAAAATAGTAATGAAAATAAAATAACAGTAATAAAATAGAAAATGTTGGGACAATGCTAAACGATTTTCATAGTTGACCCTCTTAACAACCCTACAGACAAGTATATAGAATAGACAGGGACAGTGTCATTAGCCCTTTTCTTATTTGGGAAAACTAAGTCCAAAGAAATTGAATTCATTCATTTATCAAATATTGTCTGTTAGGTGCCAGGAATATACTTCCCTGCTCTCGGGAGCTTATATTCTAGCAGGGAAGGCAGACAAGCAATCACCACAAGGTGATGTGTGGGTTAAGAACACATTAAGAACAGAACAGAACTTCCTGAATGAAGAAGACCTCTGCCCCTAATGGCTTTAGCTATACACACATTACACAATTTGTTCTAAGTTCATGATGAGACTCTGAAAAGCTGAGATACCAGATGAAACTACTGGAGGGCAATTTTATTTCTTTTGTGTCCCCCACCCTATTTCAAACCCAAAGTGCTCAAAACTTAACATGTGTTTGGTGTTCTAATCCTTTACCCAAAAGACAGCTCCCCTGTTCTGTTTCCTAACTCACTGTACTGCAGCACCACCAGATGTGCAGGTACCCTCTTCTCTCACCCTGCCACTTTCACGCAGTAACTGCTGTCAGCTCTCCCTTCTTTACACTCCCCATATCCACTGCTGGAGCCTTTTTTCCGGCCATATTTCTTGGGTCT